TATCTTTTTTTATTATATTCTTTCTCCCTCTGTTGGAGTTTCTTTCTCTTTTTATTTGTGGAGGCCATGAAGTCATCTATTAGCTTCTGGTTGGCCTCATCATATTCTCTAATAACCCTATGCAGGGTTCCAATTTTTCATTCAGCAGGCTTACTAGTTATGCTTTTAATCTATCTTGAGCATTATCCTCTACATCATTCTGGGACTGCTCTGTAGCTTATTTATATTGAGATGGTGTTGGGGTTTGTTGATTGACCATGTTTCTTGTGTTTCTGCAGTTAGTTCTACCTATTTGGAGACAAGAACCACACTGGTTAAACAGTAGGACAGTCTTTTAGGACCTGAGGCAACCTAGTGTTATGTAAATGTACAGATCTTAGGGTTTCAGAGTTATGGGTAGGCATTTTCCTATTTAGCTCTCTTTCTTTTTTGCTTGGAAAGGGATAGTGTGGCTTTGGGGTTGCGATTATGTATAGTTGTAACTATTTAGGTAACCTGGATTTGGCTGCTAAGTAGTCTGTACCTTAGAGTTAACAAGATGAGCCCCTTGTACTCAAAATAGTCAAATGGAACCAGTTTTTTAGTCAAAGATAGAACCAACTGTAAGTTGGGTTAGATATAATCCATTAGGGATCAATGGGTTGCAGCAGCTGGAGAAATGAAGGGTTAGATTGGAGAGATATGAATTTAAGTTCAGAAAAGATGATAGTAGAGGGGTAAGAACAGCTTAGGGGAGGGGTATATGTAGTATGAAGAGAATAAAGACTTTTTGTTTGTTTGTTTGTTTTGGGGGTTTTTTTTGGGTCCGGTCGTGGGGCCTGAACTCTGGGCCTGGGCGCTGTCCCTCAGCTCTTCAGCTCAAGGCTAGCATTCTACCACTTGAGCCACAGTGCCACTTCCGGCTTTTTTCTTTTTGCTTATGTGGTGCTGAGGAATCGAACCCAGGGCCTCGAGCATGCAAGGCAAGCGCTCTACCACTGAGCCAACTTCCCAGCCCCAATAAAGACGTTTTTACCTAGTGTAAGAGATGGAAAAGAATTCGAAGAAAGATTATGTAGGGAGTAGCTTAGAGATCTAGACAAAGAAAAAGAAGTTATAGATAAGTGTATTTGGGAGACTTGTTGATAGTAGAAAAAGACTACTCAGATATTACTGTAAAGTCACTTAATCTGTTAACTCCTGACATTATTGTTTGCACATATAGAAGGTGGCCTTACTTTGTGTATAGAACTAGACAGGCAGCTCTGATGGAGTAGTAGTATAATGTGGAGAGAATGGAGAAGGGGAGAGTGAGAGAAAAAGAAAGAAAAAAATGTACAAATTGGGAAATTGGAAAGTGGAAGAAAAAAACAAATAATAATGAATAATAGAAGCTTTAAGTGGAATGGCAAATCCTAAAGTAGCTAGGATTACACATATGGGACAATGACTCCTGGCATTTTCTTTTTGTTTTGTTTTCTATTTATTTGTCTTTGTGGGTCAGGAGAGGGTCACAGAAATGATGGGAGTAGCATTCACTAGAAAGTATGGTGAAAATGAACTCTATACCATGGGGGTGAGGATGGGAGGAAAAACCTGGGAGAGATTGAGGGAAGACGTGACATTGTGCAAAAAGAAATGTACTCCTTTATCTGACTTATATAACTGCAAGCCCTCTTTACAGCACCTTTACAACAACAATAAAATTACATTAAGAAAATAGAGGCAATGGAACTATAAACTCACACCTGATGATTGATAGCCTAGAGCTTTCTAAGGAAAGGAGAAGAAACAGGGAACATATAAGTCTTGTGGCATTCTAGGTGCTTTCCTGCTATACATATAAAACCACTTTCGTTTGTTGTAATGTACTAAAGCTATTAGATAAAAACAACAAGGAAAAAACATCTAACTCAATATAACTTCAGTGTTAGAACCAACCAAGTTTCCAAGTTGCAATTCTTAAAATCTCTAGGGTAAAAATGGAGTAACAGAGAATTCTCTACCTTTAAAAGCTTTTTCTTCAGTTCTCTTATTAAAAAATGATTTTCATATTGACAAAAATGATTTCTTTTGTGCCAAACCCACGTTGGAAGGACTCTGTCATCATCTTGAAATAACACTGAATACTGGTTTCTCCTTTGAGTGGCAATTCTCACTGAGAGCAACAGCCAGAATTGTTGGTGTATCAAGTGGAGAAAGAGGTGGCTTTCTCTGCCACTCTGAAAAAAAAAAAAAAACAGCAGCAACGAAATACAATTGTGAGGCAGTGTTTTAGCAAGGAACTTGTGCCACCATAGGAATGAGCTACATCATTACAGATCTCTATGTCAACTATTTACCTGCATTTTTTACTCAAGTCACCATCATGAAAATCTGAAAAATTCAGAAGAATAAAGCCTCATATTTGTTTCTGGCCCTGTGTCTGTGGACCTCAGAAGTGTAGCCTGGCTCCTAACTGTCTTCTCTGTCTGAACACTAGATGTTGTTTTTTTTTCTTCACTTCTTTAGTTAATTCCTAGGTATTTTATCTTTTGTGGGGCTATAACAAAAAGAGTTGCTTTCCTGATTCCAGCTGTGCTCTTCTCATTATTGACATACAGAAAAGCCATTGAGTTTTGAGGGTTAATTTTGTGTCTTGCTACTTTGCCAGCGTTTCAGATCAGCTTGAGTAACATGGGAGTGGAGTCCATGGGGTTCTTTAAATACAAGATCATGTCATCTGCAAAGAGGTAGTGTTTGACTCCATGTTTCCCTATTTGGATCCCATTTATGTTTACATCTTGTCTTATTGCTTTAGCTAGGCATTCTAATAGCAAGTTGAAGAGGCGTGGAGAGAGGACAACCTTGTCTTGTTCCTGAGTTTAGAGGAAATGGCTTTAGCCTTTCACCATTAAGTATAATGCTGGCTGTGGGTTTGTCATACATAGCCTTTATTGTATTGAAAAATGTTCCCTGGATTCGTAGCTTCATAAAGCGGTGTTGGATCTTGTCAAATTCACTTTCTGCATCTATTGAGATAATCATGTGGTGCTTATAATTGCTCATTGATGTAGTGAATTACATTTATTGATTTGCATATAATAAACCAGCTTTGCATCCCTGTAATGATCTTGTTTGTATACATATAAGATAAGCTTATCAGATCAGCTGAAAACCTCAAAAGCCTTCTACCTATGATCACATTTGATGATTCTAATTGAAATTAACCCCAAGATATGGACACAAGTGTTCTGTATTTATTATTATCGGTTTAAATGTACTATGTGATTTTATTTTTGTTGTTGTTGTTGTTTCCTTTGTATGTGCTTTCCCCTATGGCATATCCCCTGTTGCACTCTACTTGATTTTGGTACCCTGCATCTTGTATATACGTTTACTTAATCTGTATGTACATTTATCTAATCTGAGGAGGGTAAGTGGACTAACCAAACATAGGATGACCCTTTGCAACAAGGATACCTACAGGACAGTAAATTGGAAATGAACTTTACAACTCTGGGCAGGGGTTGGGTAAGAGAGGTGGGTAGGAGCGTGGGAGGTGGGGAGGGAAGGCATAATGGAATAACAACAAGGCACCTGGTAACAGTGATCGACAAATAATGTACTCATTGCCTTACTCATGTAGCTGTAACCCCTCTGTGAAGCATCATTACAATAAAATAAATTATTTTAGAAACACTTAAAGAGAGACTTCTTTGAAGAAGAAATAAGAATAGTACATAGACACATGAAAAATGTTTAACGTCTCTGGCCATAAAAGAAATACAAATAAAAGCAACGTTGAGATTCCACCTCACCCCAGGTAGAATGGCTATAATCAAGAAATCTAATCACAACAGATGCTGGAGGGGATGTGGACAAAATGGAACACTACTGCATTGTTGGTGGGAGTGTAACATTGTCCAACCACTCTGGAAAGAGTATGAAGGTTCCTCAAAAGACTCCACATAGATATCCCCTATGACCCAGCAATCCCACTTATGGGCATTTACCCAAAAGATCACAAGCAAGGCTACACTAAAGCTACCAGCACAACTATGTTTATCGTAGCATTATTCACCATAGCTAAGATATGGAATTGATCCAGATGCCCCTCAGTAGATGAATGGATCAAGAAAATGTGATGTGTGTGTGTGTGTGTGTGTGTGTGTGTGTGTGTGTGTGTGTGTGTACATACATACATACACATGTTGTGGAATTCTATGGTTCCATCAGAAAGAATGACACCACCCCAATTGCTAGGAACTGGAAAGACTTGGAAAAATCATATGAAGTGAAGTAAGCCACCCCCAAGAAATATAGGTAATATGGTTTCCCTTATTTGCAATGACTAGTACAGGTGTAGGATGAGCATAAAAACTTCAAAAGCTATGTACATATAAGATGATGCTAAGTGAAATGACCCCCAAGACGTAGACACAGGAGTTCTTTCCTTGTTGTTGTTGTTTTAAGTGTAAAATGTGATTGTTTTCCTTTATATGCTCTTCCTCCTATGGTATATCCTCTGTTGTCATGGTTCTTGATTTTGGTAAACTGCATCATGTATATGCATTTGTCTAATTTGGGGAGAAGAAGGGGAATAACAAAAGGGGGAAACAAGAACACAGGATGGCTCCTTGCAACAATGATACCCACAAGACAGGATATTGGAAATGAACTTTACAACTTCGGGTGGCGGTGGGGGGAGAGTAGAGCAGGTAGGGGAGGGAAGGGATAGTGGGAGGACAACAAGGGAAAGGGTAACAATGTGTGACAAGGTATGCACTCATTCTGCTACTCATGTAACTGTAACCCCTCTGTACAGAATCTTCACAATTTACAACAAAAAAAGAAAGGACGGGGCTATAGTATGATGTCTAAAACCAAACCAAGCAAATGTAAAGTCCTGTTAACCAAAAAACTGCAGAGGTGTTTAAATAAAAGTCAATGTGTAGAATGGATTGTCTAAACAATGTAAATTCCAGAAAATCATAATAAAGAAAAACATGTATGATGAAACTCACAATTACTATTTATTTCAAAGCCGAGTAATGTAATTGGAGATTAGAAGCTACAAGGACAGTGGACTGGGTTGATTGAATCAAATCAAATGAAAGTAAGTTCAGGTCCAGTCCTGAAGAACAAATCTTCATGGTGAAAATGTTTTCATTTTGACACCAACCATATTTTTTTACATATACTTATAATGAACCCTGAAAATAAAACAATAAGAGGTTGTTAATAAGCATGAAGACTGTGTTCTCAGAATCTTGGAATCTGAATGTAGACTAGAAAATACAAAGTGCTACTAAGTTTACAGGAGTCACCTTGAAGGGAAAGCAGAGATGAATGCAGCATTGGAAAATGGACTTCAGTGCTGATGAAGTTCCAATTTCCCAAAGTTCTCCTGAATAGCTCACAAAAGAGTCTACCTTCAGAAGCTTCATTATCAAAACATTTGTATTTTCTTAATAATTCCCAAAGATAACAGTGTTTTAAATTAAAAATAAAATGTTTTCATGCAACATGGAGAAGTTTTATACTTCTAATAATTTCTACCAAGGATAAACTATGTCAAATGCCATGTTTACAGCAAGGATACGGTCAAAATTGACAACCAAACAACTTCAACCTCTTGGCTCCTTGGAAATTCGAATATTAACTTGAATCAGAACAGAAAGAATTAAGGGAGCCATAGGAAGAAAGGAAAAATTTATTTCTGCTACACTTTTTTCCTTATAGCATTTCCTGAGGTAAGAAAAAACGGGAGAAGATCTAAGTATGAAGATTGACACAAACAAAAGCCTAATGCAAATGAAATCTTCTTACTATACATGTCTTGGAAATAAGAAGCAATCACGGGATAGTAATCTGTGACAGGCACATCTGAGGAAGATTTGAAACATTCCTGTCAGGTACAGCATCCTCTCTCCTTCACATAATAACATGTGTCCCACTCAGTATTGGACACACATTGTTTTGTTATAAAATCATCTCTGCATTGTTTAGTGACTCACATGTTTGACCTTCCTATGAACATCCTTCATTCCCCTTTCTTTTTGTCACTTTTATTTGTTGAGAGACAAATACATAGAAACCTCCCTCTTTGGGCAGTGGCATTGACCAAGAAGACAGGCAATTTTCTTACCATATTCACCTTGGGAATGAGACGCTTTCTCAGTAGGTTCATCTGTGATTGGCTCATCTGAGGAAGATTTGAAATATTCCTGTCAGGTACTGTATTCTCACTCCTTCAGATAATAATATGTGTCCCACTCAGTATTGGACACACATTATTTTGCTATTAAAAAATCTCTACATTGTTTAGTGACTCACATCTTTGACCTTCCTATAAACATACTTCATTCCCCATTCTTTTTGTCTCGTGTATTTGTTGAGAGCCAAGTATATGGAAGCCTAACCATTGTGCAGTGTCATTGACTGTGGAGATAGTACAAAGTTTAAATCCTCCTATTTTCTACTCCACAGAAAAATGTTGCCCAGAATGGATATGGGAACTTACAGTCTCAATCTTGGTTGTCAATTCAGAGATTGGAAGCAAACATTGACATATGCCCGTGGTGTAGCAGCACACCTTAAGCATCACTGTCTTCATGATTACAGCATCCTGTTATGTACTCAAATCTTCCTCCTTAAATTACAACTATAGAATCCATTCCATCTTAATTCAGGCCAGTAAACGTTACTTTACATTTGAAATTAGCCAAGCAATTTATTTTTCAAATTATTCAAAGGTATATGCATAAATATATTATATATATTACATATATATATTGCATATATATGTAATATATATAATAATAATCCTAAGCAGGGCACTGGAGATTCTTGTTAGCAATTCTAGCTACTCAGGTGGCTGAGATCTGAGATCAAGGGTCAAAGTCAGTCCCTAACAGGAAAGTATATGAGACTCTTCTGTCTAATTAACTACCATAAAGGCCAGAGGTGGATCTGTGGCTCAAGAGATTGAGTACATGATCACAAAAGCTCTGGGACAGCAGTCAGGCCCCCAGTTCAAGCCGCAGGAGTGGCACAAACAATAAAGCAAAACAAAACACATTCACCCCTCATGTCTGGCCTCACAGATTTGAACCTTTGGTTAAGGAAAGAGGAATAATAACTATGGATCTGATAACTCCGTGAGAGAGGCTTGCTTCTAGAATTTATCTCAATATGTAAGGAAGTGGAGATTATCTAGCTTCAAAGTGAACTAGATTATCAGGAATGCATCTTTACCTGAGTTTTCTTAGAAGACTATATAAAATGGAATATGCACATGGACGCTGTGAGGAAAGAGACAGGAAATGAAATGGGCTTAGAAAGAAGAAGTAGAATGGCAGGACAGGTTTCCAGTAACTATGGTGTCTGATGTAGTCTCTGTTGACATTCTTTTAAAGAATAAAAAAAGAAAAGAATATTTGAGATGGATGATTAACTGTGAGTAGTAATGGTCATTTATATTCTTGGAAGCAGTGGCCCTAAGAGGTCAGATTGAATACAAATTCTACCTAAACAAGACTACATTGTCCTCCTATACTTCTTGAACTAAGCCACTGATTACCTTCTAGACATTTTTCCTCCTCTTCATTTGTTTCCCCTTATGCATTGACTTGACCTCATCCATTTTGAGTATTAGCTTCTTAGGGTTTTAGTTTGCTGAATTTTGTCTTGGGTTTCTAAAGAACTGTACTGTGTGAGATGTCCTGTGAATCTACTGTATTTCAGTAGTTGTGTTTGTATATAATTGAATACCACCAAAGACATTTACTTATGACTTCGTAAGCTAAATCTAGCTTCCACATATAGAGAAAAACATGGGTAAAGAGGAAAGGAGGGGGAAATGCAGATAAGAGTTGAATCTATATGCTAGAAAGTTGAGAAAAGTAAAGGAAAGTGTGGTTAGGGGAAGGCTGGGTGCGAATGTTAAAAGAAGTGACATTGATTAAGATATATTGTGTTCACTCTTAAATAGCAACTCCTATGTACAGCTAATTAAAGATTATAATAAAATGAAAGGCCCTTATAGAAAAAATAATTGGTGCTAGACTGTGAGGTTCATATAGAGAAAACCTCTGCCTGAATTCAGAAAACAGAATCCAGTTTCATGATAGCTTTAAATTGGAAGGGAGATGGATCTAGGCTTTGAACAAGAGGTCAGGAAGGTACAGCTTCATGAAAACCTCAAAGTCAGTCCCTCAGACAGTAAGTATTTGCACAGTCTTTTACTTACCAGAAGAAACCAGGATAGCAGCAACACCCAGTATTACAAGGAATGCCAAGAACTTCATGGTCCTTAGTTGAAATTTTGAAACATGCCGAAGATAATTCTGGTATCAGGATAAGGCAAGCTACTGACACCAGGACTCTGACCTTAGATTATATATGTTGAGAGCACCAATCAGAAATTTCCAGCTAAGTATCTGGATGAGTAATTACTGGAGAAGTTAGGTCAGAGTCAACAGAGGAAAGTAAATTAAAACCAGAAGTCCTTTGAAAAGGTCATGAGTTCTCACCCTTGATCCTGATTATACAGATTTAAATTCAAGGATGTTTGTGTTCCAGGGCAAAACTCCTCCCACCTACCTCTTACTCTGGACTTTTAGCTTCATTGTTACAATCTCTTTTGTCAAGTTGGTATGTCCAAGAACCAGTCTTGTTGATATATAAACCACTTCTTCTAAAATTTTAAATTTATAACATTGCCACTCAACTAGCTTTTTGCAGAGAATATTTGAAGTAGAGTGGCAACCTCAAAAGCCCTTCTAGTCCTGGCTGTGCATTGTTCAAGCTGTGAATTCACTTCTGGACATGTGTGGAGGTTCATCTAGCAGATGGATTTCAGCACTAATGAAAGAAAAATCAAATCTGACCTCTCTGCATTTAAGCAATTCTAGTTTAAATAGGCAAAATTCAGCCAGGCACCCATGGCTCCAGCCTGAAATCATAGGTACTCAGGAGCCAGTTGGGTAGGGAAATCTTTGAGATCCTTATCTCCACTAAACTACTAAAAAGTCAAAGTGGAGCTGTAGCTATGGAGTAGACCAGTAGCCTTGAAAGAAGAAAGCTCAGGAATATCACACAGGCCTTGAGTTCAAGTCCCAGAACTGCCACATACCCATCAAAAGCAAAATCTAAGAAAAAGGTGACAATTAACATTTATAAAATTACCACATTCATTGAAACAATTTATTCTCTCAACAATACAGGTAGAGAATTATTCTGTATCATACAAAACAATAGAAAAGCAGTAATAGGCAGAAAAATTTATATTCTACCCTATCACCAACAAAAACAACAAAAAGCTTACATTGAATATATACTGTCCAAACATAGTCTATTCAAAAGCCAAAATTGTTAAATGTGTGAGGTAAAATATTCTTGTATAATATTCTGTGGAGGTCTGGGTGGGTAGTCCAATAGTAGAGCACAGAGTATGTACATGATCTGTACTTAATTCTCATCATTTTCACAAAAACAGAATCAAAGAGAAAAAGGAATTAATTCAGGAATGAAGAGACCTTGGAATGGGATTTCAATTTCAGGATAGGAAGCTAAAAGGAAATAATGTAAGCCAATAATTGTTCATGTGTTTGTGTGTGTGTGAGTGTGTAATATTCATCTATAATAGATATGCAGATTTGCCTTTGAAGTTACTTTTGTTTTCTTTATGTGTTGTTTGTTTGTATATACTTTAGTCTTTGTTGTTACTTTTGTTTTCTTTTTGTGTTGTTTGTTTAGCTATCTTTGGGAATGGAAGAGACAGCACTGACATGAAGAGACTAAAGGTAAAACAGTAACAAAGTTAACGGCCCAATTCATAAATAAAGATTTAAAGACAGACTTCTTCCAAGAAGAAATAAAAATGGCCAATAGACACAGGAAGAAATATTCAGCATTTCTCTCCATAAAGGAAATGCAAATCATAACAACATTGAGATTCCACCTCACCCCAGTTACAGTGACCATTATCAAGAAACTAGCCAATGGAACGATTTCTAAAGTAGACCACATTTTAGGCCACAAAGCAAACTTGTCTAAATTCAGAAACATTGAAGTTATACCTTGCATTCTCTCTGACCGCAAGGGAATAAAATTAGAACTCAACACCAAAAGCCACCAAAGAAAGTCCAGTAACAACACACTGCTGAATCAAGAGTGGGTCATGGAAGAGATTAGAAAGGAAATTCAAATGTTCATGCTATTCAACAAAAATGAACACACAAATTACCAGCTCCTCTGGGACACAGCAAAGGCAGTACTCAGAGGCAAGTTTATAGCTCTGAGCTCCTACATCAACAAATTGGAGAAATCTGAAACTAGCAATTTAATGACACATCTAAACCTCCTTGAAAAAGAGCAGCAAGATAAACCCCAATCCAGTAGACTGAAAGAAATAATCAAAATTAAATCAGAATTAAATGAATTAGAATCCAAAAAAACTATAGAAAGAATCAACAAAACAAAGAGTTGGTTCTTCGAAAAACTTAACAAAATTGACAGACCCTTAGCAAATCTTATCAGAAAAAGAAGAGAACACACCCAAATTAATAAACTCAGAGATGAGAATGGAAACATCACCACCAAAACAACCAAGATTCAGAACATTATAAGGGAATACTTCTCAAAACTTTATGCTAATAAGTTTGAGAACTTGACAGAAATAGACCTTTTCCTAGCAAATATTGACATGCCAAAACTAAACCAAGATGAGTTAAACCAGCTTAACAGGCCCATATCAAGCATTGAAATAGAAACAGCAATAAGAGACCTCCCAGCTAAGAAAAGTCCAGGACCAGATGGTTTTACAGCGGAATTTTACAAGGCCTTCAAAGCAGAGCTTACACCAATACTCCTCCAACTCTTCAATGAAATTGAAAGAGAAAGCTCACTACCGAACACATTCTATGAAGCCATCATAACCCTCATCCCAAAACCAGGCAGGGACTCATCAAAGAAAGAGAACTATAGACCCATTTCTTTGATGAACATTGATGCAAAACTTCTCAACAAAATTTTGGCCAATCGACTTCAACCATTCATCCAAAAAATCATACACCACGATCAAACAGGATTCATTTCAGGGATGCAAAGCTGGTTCAATATACGCAAATCAATTAATATTATTCATCACATCAACAGGAGCAAGAATAAGAACCACATGGTTATCTCAATAGATGCAGAAAAAGCATTCAACAAGATCCAACACCCCTTTATGATGAAGGTTTTGGAAAAATTAGGAATCCATGGAACATTCCTCAATACGATAAAGGCTGTATATGACAAACCTACAGCCAGCATTATACTCAATGGTGAAAAACTAAAGCCATTTCCTCTTAACTCAGGAACAAGACAAGGATGCCCACTCTCTCCACTTCTCTTCAATCTAGTATTAGAATGCCTAGCTACAGCAATAAGACAAGATGCAGACATAAAGGGGATCCAAATAGGGAAAGAAGAAATAAAACTCTCCCTCTTTGCAGATGACATGATCTTGTATTTAAAGAATCCCATAGACTCCACTCCCAAATTACTCAAGCTGATTCAAAACTTTGGCAAAGTAGCAGGGCATAAAATTAACCCTCAAAAATCAATGGCTTTTCTGTATGCCAACAATGAGAAAAGTGTGGCTGAAATTAGGAAAGCAACTCCATTCGTAATAGCCCCACAAAAAATAAAATACCTAGGAATTAACTTAACCAAAGTAGTGAAGGAACTCTATGATGAAAACTTTAAAAACTTGAGAAAGGAAATCAAAACAGAACTTAGAAAGTGGCAAAAAAAAACAAAAACAAAAAAACTCCCATGCTCCTGGATTGGAAAGATCAACATCATGAAAATGGCAATACTTCCCAAGGCTATCTACAAATTCAATGCGATACCTATCAAAATTCCACCCTCATTCTTCAAGGAAATAGAAGAGGCAATCCAAAAATTCATATGGAACAATAAAAGACCCCGATTAGCAAAAACGCTCCTCAACAGAAAGTACAGTGCTGTAGGAATATCAATACCAAATTGCAAATTCTACTATAAAGCCATAGTAATCAAAACAGCTTGGTACTGGCACAAGAACAGACCTCAGGACCAATGGAATAGAATTGAAAACCCAGAAATGAACCCACACACCTATAGTCATCTAATCTTCGATAAAGGAGCTAAAAAAAATGGAATGGAAGAAAGACAACCTCTTCAGTAAAAGGTACTGGCAAAATTGATTAACTACTTGTAGAAAACTAAAACTAGATCCTTATATATCACCCTGCACCAGAATCCCAACTCCAAATGGATCAAAGACCTCCGAGTCAAAGCAGACACTCTGAAAGCATTACAGGATGGAATAGGAGAAACCCTAGGTCTCCTTGGCACAGTCGAAATTTTCTTAATAGAGACCCAGAAACAACAAATCAAAGAAAGGTTGGACAAATGGGATTGCATGAAATTGCAGCGCTTCTGCATGGCAAAGGACATAGCTAGCAAGATCAATAGAAAGCGAGAAGATCTTCACTAGCCATACAACGGACAAGGGTCTCATATCTAAAATATACTTTGAACTCAAAAAAATTAAATCCCCCTACAACAAATCTTCAAAGAAACAACTGCTAAAGACTTAAAGAGAAACTTCTCTGAAGAGGAAAGAAGGATGGCCAATAGACACATGAAGAAATACTCAACCTCTCTTGGCATAAAAGAAATGCAAATCAAAACAACATTGAGATATCACCTCACCCAAGTTAGAATGGCTAGAATCAAGAACTCTAATAACAACAGATGCTGGAGGGGATGTGGGCAGAAGGGAACCTTATTGCATTGTTGGTGGGATAGAGTCATAAGTTCTTCAAATAACTTCTGGCTGTAATCTTGAATTTCCTCTTTTCCCTGAGACCCAACTTCTCTAGAAATTACCTAGCCAGATATTTACCTGGAAATTCCTTATTGGTGCACTCAATTACATAATGTCAGTTTCAGAGTCCTGGTATCAGCACCTTGCCTTTTCCTGGTACCAGAGTTGTCTTGTGTGCAATTCTAAATCTTCAACTCAGCATCATAAAGTTCTTGGCATTGCTTGTATTACTGGAGGTTTTGACCATCCTGGTTTCTGCTGGTAAGTGAAAGATTTAACCGAATTAAAGTTTATATGCAAATATGTAGTCTCTGGGGCATTGACTTCAGAGGTGTTGAGATGCTCAGGAAGGTGTACCTTCCTGACCTGTGGTTCAGAGCCTAGTTCCATTCTGTTTGATTATGTTGATACTGGATTCTGTTTGCCTAATTCAGCCAGATGGATTCTCTGTTGTGAACTTCACAGTGTAGTACCAATTATTGTTAGTATTAGGTGGCTTCACTTCGTATTATTATCTTTAAGTAGCTATACATAGGAGTTGCCATATA